TGCTCACCCTTAAATTTGCGTTGAAGGCCATGTGAACGGTTGAAAGTGTATAATTAATGAAATCGATTATTCAGCAGGGTGACTCAAAGTCTACATTTTGGAGTTAAACTTGTGAAAGCTTTAAAAATCTCTCTTCTGTAAACTTCTAGAAGATTGAATTTTTGGCGGGAATCTTTCAAAAAAATCGAGAACCATCTTTTCAGAATTTCTTGCCTTTTGAAGCGATTTCTCAAAGTCTTGCTTTTTTCTTTACGAATCTATAATCTTATCTATCTAAATAGTGCAACGCAATAGTTAGGTCCCTGCAGAAATAGGTTCTGATGTGAGGAACGCAGTGCAAAATTTCGAAACTGCAATTTCTTCACAATTTTCGTTATGTTCCGTTTGTCCAGAATGTTCCGAAATTTCAACATATTCCCGCCGTTCTCTCAAAAAATTAGGCTAAAATTTCTCAGCGATCTCGTTTTGTGTGCATTTTGTCGGCAAATCTAGTGCATTCCTTTTTATGCGCGACACTCTATCCATAATTTCCATGGAAATCTCATGAAATTTCTATAAAAACTGACTTAATCCTTGTTTTTTTAATGAAAATTATTTTCAAATTTAAAAAATTCAATTTAAACAAAAAATAACAAGCCTATTTGAACGCCGTTCGTTCATAATTTTACTTAGGTTTATGCAGAGTCAACGAACTAATATTAATACTAATCCGCTTGCAAAAATCGATGCTGTTCCCTATTCATATACTTTTTTGCAGAACAAAACGGGTGGGAAAAAAGCAAAGTACAAATCCAGCGGATATGTCTATTGTAAACACAACTGAGTGTATTATCTGTTATAATGAATATGGCAAGTTTTAATTCAATTTTTAAAATTTTATTGTGTATTTTCAGACACTGAATCTCGAAAACCTTGCATCGGAACATGTGGTCACTCAATTTGCGAACACTGTAAACATCAAATGCTCTCATCAAAATGTCCGCAGTGCAATCGAGAAGAAGCGTTCGCAATCACAACAATTAATTATCAAGTTCTAGAATTAATTAAACATTTTCGAAGTATGCAAGCGGGTGAATCATCTGGCTCACGATCTCTATTAGACGATGCAAAAGTGAGTATTTGCGAAAATTTAACGCTACCAATGTTCTCTTCAGGGTCTCGACGA